GTTACAACTGAGAATGGTCTGGTTTTAACCAGGCTATGTTCACTGCAGATCAAACCCTGAGTTGACCAAGAACGTTTATAGCAAGCGTTGTGAACCTGATCTAAACCGGCTTGGATTTGTTTGGTTTGGTCTAAACCTACTCTGAATCTTAAAGTTTGTTCAACTAGCTTCCTGTAACAGGCTGATGAGCTTTATATATATATTTATTTGTTTGCTGTTGAGTGAAGAATCCAGTGGTAGCCTCAACTCAGAATCACCCGTCGTCTCCATAATTCACATCTCTTGGGACTTCTTTCCCTAACTTTCCCTTGTCCGGGTATCACGCTTTTCATCTCTTAGCTGGCGCTTTCGTTCCCTCTCCATCATACTTATTATAAACCGCCAGCATCCTCATCTCCATCGTAAAGCTTTATCCAGACCTTTGCTTCCCTCAGAAGCTCTAGGTAGTCTTTTTAGTCTGAGGTGGCGGAGCAGGAAAGCTGAAACCACTCAGAGAGCTTTCATGTGAGGCGTCTTGAGTTTGTTGTGGGTTTTTTTGCAGGCCACAGCTCCACAGTGAATGTGCAAGTACACCCATTCATTTTTAGCGAAGAACAGCAAAGGAGGGAATAAAAGAAGTGGAGAGTAAATCTCGGCAGGCCCATAGAACAAAGAGGCTGCGGATGCAAAGGATGGCAAGACGCCCCTACGCCTGTCTGTGCCCCCTTCTCTTTGTGCGAAAGAAAGCCTGCCTCTTCTGCTTTTGTCTTTCCTGCATATTGAATATTCCAGTAAAATATGTGCAGCACAGTACACAGCACCGTACGTGTGTCTGGAATGTATTCATGTGTGTGTGACTGCTCTACAGGCCGCTTGCCTGCATAAACCCACATCATTCATTATTCAGTTGCCTGAGATTTTCCTTGTAATCTTACGCCAACTTTGCAGCGTTCTCTCTACATGTTTGAGTCGCATTGATTGCCAATCCCACTGTCGTGAACTCTTACTTGTCATTGAAGCAACCGATTTGTGGTCACACACTAGTAAATTTGCTTCTTGGTGATTTGGATTTGAACATTTGCATTTATTAGGTTGAATTTTTTTAATTATTTATTTACAAAAGGTTAATAAGTCTCTTAAAAAATCTGATAATTTGACCATTTATGACCAGAAATGTTGTAAAATGTCAAATGGTGCGACAACCAAAAAACCTTTGTCAAAAAAAAATTACCTTGGAAAATATATTTTAAGTCTTTTTGTTGAAAATAAATAATGATCATGCAGGGCTTTTTTTTTTCATGATGTAACCACACATGTAACCACAACCACTCATTTTAGAGCCACTAAAGCTGCAGTCCGTAACTTTTGGCGATCTAGCGGTTAATAAACAGAACTTTGTTAGGCTATTCCTTTGGATTATGCATCATGACCTTTACAGTTCAGATGTGTAATATTAAAGTGCAGTGCCAGTGAATAATAACAATAATGAACAATCACAAAAATGTATCACTGGATCTAGTTGCCAGTCGAAAACAAGATGTGAGAACCAAAGAACTTAAGTAGCATCATCTCGCCTTTAAATTGCAGTTACCTAAACTCTAGCAATAAAAAAAACTGTTAGATGACCTAGGCCTACTTGTTCGTTAATTGTGCTTTAGAAAAGTATATAAATACATAAAATGTGTACAAAGATAAAATTGAGTTGTTTTAAGAAATACGATCACAATATAAAGATCAATAGGTCTTATTTATAAAATATGAGCAGAGAGAGTTTATAAATTGTACATAAAAACATTTGTATGGATTGAATTAAATGACAATTTACATGCTAATGGATTAATGAACGATTGACTTATTCATTATGCTCGTGTTTTATTAATAAGACCCAAAGATTGTATCCACACAGCCCTGCTCAACGTACAATTATATGATGTAAGGAAGCTGGAAGAAGAATTTAAGTGTGGCTTTTTATGGAATAGTGCTGGTTAAGCAACTTAACATTCTTCCTTGCCAGCTGCCACACAGTTATATCCATCTTTCAGTCATCAAGACCATATGTGCAGCATTTGCCTCCATCTAAATAGTCTGAATTACTTCAGGAATTTTGAGGTTTTGTTTTTGAAAGTGTTAACAGATTGAATTTGCTCTTCCATTAAGTCAAACTGGTCCATTGGAACGACCACGCCACCCACAAATCCTGAAAGTGACGCAGCTGAGCGGGATTGATTTCCTTGTTGCCAGTTTTTGCTGAAGTCATTGATTTGGATCAGATGTGATCTTGGCTCTCTCTGACTCTTCAAATGATTGTGAATCAGCTACGTTGTATTTCCAGACCACCTGCTTCCACGTTTCAGCGAGATGCGTGTTGCCCACCTGCTCATCATCCAGCACCACTTGACTGTCTTTAATAACTTCCAGAAGTTCACTTCCACTCTCTCACCCTCTTTACCCTTTGGGACTGTGAGAGTGAGGCGGAAAAAGCCACGTTTTCACATTAGTAATGATTATGGAAAGTGTTTGCACTGCAGCTGTTTTGAGAGTTCGCATTTTAAACCTCTGCTGAGTGCCACCTCTGTGGTTCTGATTTCAAGTATGTCATTTTCAAATCATGTGGAATTGATCTTTTATTTACAGGCTGTGTCCATGTTGATTGGCTATATTAGTAGGATGCACTGGATAGTCTGGTCTTAAGGTTGTACTACACTAAGCTTACAGTTGGCCATAGTCAGGCCATTGTTGAGCGTCTGTGGACCTATTTTTTGCAGTTCTGCTCCGTTGACTCTAGTTGGCTTTTGGAACTGCAACATAATACTAACAGTTGATTGGACAACTACTCTTGCTGAACTGTTAGTATAGAATGGTACCTAAAACTTTTGCCACACCTGCCAATGGCCTGTGACTTAAGAATATGTACCGGAAAATGTCATATTTTTTTAACAGCCATGAAACCTAGATTAATCCTTATTAAAGTTACAAAAGTTATTCAGTCTAGAGCAGCGAGTAATTTTTCTTTGTCTTTTGTTGTTTGATTAAAATTAAATACATAGACAGCAGCAGGATTATCAGGCTGCTGTCACTTTAAGAGCTAATGCACGGATCCAATATACTGATACATGCGTTTGCTTTCTCAACTTTTTATGTTCACTTAAGACATAACCGACTCTGTATACGAAGATTCTTGCCAAGACAGGCAATTTTACATAATTTAGTTTGAATATGTCTGTTCAAGCGCAAGAAGGCGTGAAAGAGAGCTCAATTCAGTATCGGGCGCTGTCTGAATATGCGGATTTCTGGGCACATGCTTCGGATGTTTGAGCACAGAAAACTTCCCACACAGCACGCGTGTAGCAAATTGAGTTCACTTTCGCGTCTTCTGACTCTTGAATATTTAAATTGGCAAGGCTTAAACTTTTGTGACGATGCAGCACTGGCCCGTCAACTGTCCAGAGCGTTGTTCATGTTCTCACAATATTGCATTGTTAGAATTCATAAAAATGTAACCCGCCAACTGGTGATTGGCACCATTTCATATACTCGCCAACACTGGTTTTTACTCTCGTTTGGTGCTTGGCGAGTGTTTATTTTAGGCCCTGGTTACACCCCTACAAACTACAGAGTATATCAAAAAGTACAGAAAAAAGAATGTGATTGCATTCTTCTAAAGCTATACGATAGCTTTGGGAGTCATTATTCAAAACATTCAAACGCAAGTAAGAACCAATGTTGTTAGATGTCAGTGATGACAAACCTGGCCTGACACATATGAGAAGCCTTGTTTGATGACATTTGAGAGCTATGGCAAAGAGGGTGATTTATAAATCAGAAAACTTGACATCAATTACTTTTACAATGTTTTTTTTCTTTTTTTTTCTTGTAGCCAAGTCATCATCCCTTTTTGCTGAGTTAAGAGCAGCTCGGACATTTTGTTGAACATCTCCTATTCGTCATCTGGTTAGGAATGACATTATGGTGAGAAAAGGATGATCAGTTTGGAAGGATAGTCCAAGTGAACTGAACTGAAGTGAACTATTCCTGAAGTGTAGTTTAAACATTTTCCCAGGCTGTGGAAACTTTGTAAGTTGAGGAATGAATTTCCATTACACTCTCTCTCTCTCTTTTTTTTCCTTTTTTTTTAAGGATCCTCCTAGGTTAATTATCAATCTGGTCTTTGACCTATGATCATCTAGAGTTAAAACTGCACATAAATTATATTTAATTTCTCACTTTCTCCATTTGACTTAGAATGTCTATTAATCAGAACACAGGAGCAACTGTTCTACAGTTTTATTTCCAATTCCAAATAAAGGCACATCATTTCATTGTCACGTCCTCCTACGCTTCCTCACATCTAAAGTTTTGTGGAAAACATAGCACAAAACAAGTTGACATGAGTATTAACAGTTAATGATGTGCCCTGCTCCCAATTTCCTCTTCCTTGTCATCTACCTTCCTCGTCGCTAGTTATTATAAACCACAAAGATTGGTCTATAAGTTGGTCCATTGCTTGAATCTGTTGGTCGGCGAACAAAATGATCTTTCAGACCTCTCCCATCAGGCCAAGTGTGTGCAAGTGTGTGCCCACCCAGGCAGATTTTATAAAATATTTGTTTGTAGAGAAGCTTTTTTGGACTTAGTTTTCTTCATATATCTTTGGCCAGCATAACTCCACCATTCAATCTCGTAGATTTTTCCTAGTATTTTTCCCCATAGACTGGCAGGTTGATCTACAACAATGTCAACGAATTGGCTTAGTCTACGTAATTGCTCAGTAGATTTAACACTGAACAGACCTCTCGGTTCAGTTTTTCACACCGGGCTTCATCTGAACACATTTAAACCTTGGCAGTCTGTTCTCTTCTGTCAGTCCAAAATACATATCAGTCAACCAAAATGGACCTGCTTGAGACAGAGTTTTTCTTTTTTTAACACCTTCATGTGCATGCAGCAATATATTGACTTGCGTGTCTGTGTGTGGTTGTCTGGTGTTTATTTGTGGTTCTCTGTTTTTCGCCGTTTCCCAGCACCAATGTTGTGATGAACTACTCAGAGATAGAGTCCAAGGTTCGAGAAGCCACCAATGATGACCCCTGGGGCCCATCGGGTCAGCTCATGGGTGAGATTGCCAAGTAAGTGCTCAAACTACAAGTTCTCCTCAGTCTTCAGGCATTCAATGACTCTTCTCTGAATTACCGCAGAGCATTTGTGTAGGGCAATTACTGCAGAATTACATTGATCTCATCATTGATAGCTGATGATTTCATTTGCATTGCATCATGGCATAGACTTGTAACTCATAGACTGCAAGTTGATTCATTACCTCCTCATCTTGGTTTTATTTTTATTAATTGTTTTTTAAATTTAGTGCCTTACATTAAATTTGTACAAAACAAGTGTACATTACATCATTACACTACATTAAAATCAGAAACAGGATGGATGGTTTGACAGTATTTGAATATGCCAAACTTTGGAAACCCTGTGTTAGTACTATCAAACATATTTGCTAGGAATAATAATAACTTGAAATATGTGGGAAAATATACAAACATCTTGAAAGCTGTTCTGTTTGTCAGTGGTATAATTCCTGTTTTTGACAGGTTAAAAAAACTTGGCAGATTATAATATAGTAGGACTGCACGATATCTAAGAAAATGTGATGTACGATAACTTGTTAAAGAATGTGATATTTGCTATGCGATACGATTAAATAATGCTTTAAGTAGTGTTGCTTTCGTCAACGAAAATTGACTAAATATCGTCGTCAACGAACCTTTATCACGTGACGAAAACGAGACGAGACGCAACGTAAATGCTGGTCATGTGACGATGACTATAACTAAATGTATAATGCAATATTGTTGACAAATAAAAACGAGACTAAATGTGGTTTACAAAATAAAAACTATGCTAAAATGTCTCTTCATTTTCGTTGACCAAAACGAGACGAGACGAAATGTTATTTAACGTTATTTCGTCTCGTTTACTTGCATTATTATTATGCATGCAGTATTTCTGTTTCCTGTGTCACTTCAGGGGCTGCATCAGATCGCACTGCGCAGACGCAGGCGACTTCACATTCTCAAGCCCCACTCGCGGCATTATTTAGAAGATCCAGCTGCGTGAGTTACGGCTGTTTCACACATACTCCGTGTGTAGTGCGTATGCGGTGCGTGTTGCGGTGTGTATGCAGGAGCAGCACGCGCTATTGTGCTTTCACGTGTGCTGCGTTTGCAGTGCGCAACTGATCTACGGCTGTACCACAATCACAACATTTATTCTCTATTTTTTATTTCAAATCAATATTTTTAGCCTACATCCATTATGTCGCGTTGTTGAGGTACTGTGTAGATCTCTGCTCTGCTGTTATCCACGCACCGCTCCTGGAGCGCATTGCCGGACCGCATCCGCGTGCGGTGTGAGCGCTCTAACCATAGGCCCTAACATGGGTACGGGAAAAAATACGGAGTATGTGTGAAACAGCCGTTAGCATAAACAAGAACAAACAAAGTTAAGTCTGACACAGAGAAAGGGATTCGTCTTTGGGAGAAAAAGAAGAAATGACATTTGGAAAAACTATTATTTCATCATGTGTGTAGGCTACTTCTAACATGTTTGGTTGGTAAAATAAATATGTTGTAAATTCAAATCAGAGCGTCTTCCGTGTCTGGAATGGATGTATTCTTGAGTCTATAAGGTAACAATAATATAATAAGATAACCATAAGAAGATAAGATTGTTTGAAATGGGTTTGGCTAAAAGAAAATTTTGGTTTCGTCTATACTACTTATACTATATTGACTGGGTTAAATAGAATTGCATTAGGAAAAAGAGACTAAAATACAATTTTCATTGACTAAAACTAGACTGTCTTTCGTCGACTAAAACTAGACTAAAATGTCATCAGTTTTTGTCGACTAAAACTAGACTAGACTAAAAAGAGTATGAACGTGACTAAAACTAATAAAAACTAAAATGACAGCTTGACGCAAAAACTAGACTAAAACTAAAATTAAAACAGGCCGCCAAAAACAACACTAGCTTTAAGTATGTAAAATCAATTTAAATTATATTTAAATATATTTAAAAACTGAAAATGTTATACTGTATACGTTTCACATTCTTTCTGGGAAAAGAAAGAATCACTACAACTTCTGAAAGTGACCAACAGTGTTTTAGCATTACATAAAAAGTAATGTCACAAATCTGACTGTCATTTCAACATCAATGTCAAACAAACAAACAAAAAAACTATTTAAATAGCAACAACTCTTTGCTCAACTTGATGGTAATATATAGTTATATTAATCTGAAAACTTAACATAAAAAAACACCTGAAACTAGAGGTGGATGATTAGTTATTTTTGTTATTTTAATGTATCTTTGTTATTAAAAATAAGAACAAAGAAGCAAAATACAAATAATAGGACAAATACAATAAAACAAAGATAAGATACAAATGAAATAAACCGTTCTAAGTTTTTCAGGTTGGAAAGAATTTGTTTCCTCTTTTTCTAATGTTGTTTTTTACAGACAGCTGCAGATATACTGTATTAGGCTGTTGTCACTTTAAGACTAATGCATGGATCTTATTGACGCACCATATTTCTTTCACAACTCACTTGCCAAGACAGGCATTTTGACATAACTGTGTGTAAATTTGACCTTTCGAGTGCAATAAAGAGAACTGAATTCGAGATTGCACGCTGTCCGAGAGGCGGCTTTCTGTGCGCGCGCTTCATGTGTGTGTCAGACAGCGCAAGTAGCACAATGAGTTGTTTTCTGCAGATTATTGAGCTTAATAACTCTTATAACATCGGGAAAGTCACACGCAAGTAACAGTCGTGTGCCCAGTCTATTCTCTGCTATATGCATTGATATAATACTTTGACTTTTCACAACTTTTCAAAGTAGCCTATTAAAATCATTCAGATATCGCAAGCCGTTGAGATATACATATTGTGATATGTACATTTGCAATATTTTGTAATATAATAATATTATAATATTGATAATTTTGCTATATCATGCAGCCCTATTATTTAGCCTTTAATAAACCTAGCAAAATTGCTTCTGCATATCAACTGGGCAGAATCACTGCACTTTATGTAGAGATTCCACTGAAACCTTATATTTAGACAATTTGGCATGGCATCATTTCCACTGAGGAATCTCCCGCTGGAAGTAATTACTGTTCTCTGATTGTTATTATAAACTTAATTAACCTAATACAAGGTTTAAAAACTTTTTAATTAATTTAGCATCTTGCCATTGTAATCCTTCGTATTTATGCTGCAGATCCACATTTATGTATGAGCAGTTCCCTGAAGTTATGAACATGCTTTGGACCAGAATGCTGAAAGACAACAAGAAGAATTGGAGGAGAGTTTACAAGGTACAGTGCACTGCTCATGTCTGTTAGAATCTTTCTTCTTAAATCATACTTTCACTTTAAATAAATAACAATTACTGAAATTAAGTGTACATTCACTTGTGTACTACATTTATACAGTATTTAGTAAAAAAGCAAATGCCGGCCAAATCACTAGACTTGCCAATATATCGGTCCATTTCTAATCTTCATTCATTTCTTCACACAAGGAAATGTTTGTCTATATGTGGTTACACTTCCTAAAACCCCATGATTCACTAAGAATTTTCAATAGTCCAGCTAAACTTTTTCAAGTTTAGGAATATTTAAGGTTATCAACATAATGTCTGTGCTGCATCTGTACATAGCATGTATGTTGTTGATCACATACAATGATTTTGACTTGAACCTCAGAGTGTAAACAAAGTGTGTGTTTTTTTTTTTTTTTTACTAATTATACACGCAAAATCCTGCATTTAACTCTTTAAATTGCTTGATTTGGAAATATCCCTAATAACTCCCTCTTCCATATGTGCAGGCCTTATTGCTATTAGCGTACCTCATCAGAAACGGCTCAGAGCGGGTGGTCACCAGCGCCAGAGAACATATTTACGACCTGCGTTCTATGGAAAATTATCATTTTGTAGGTAGGTTTAAATAGATGAAATGCTTAGAAGGTTAAAGTGCCCCATTATGCTTTAAATGTTCCTAATTTAGTTTTAGAGGTCTCCTACAATAGGTTTACATGCATCTATGGTCAAAAAAACATCTTCTCATAATATGCATTGCACCATCACCTCTTTTCTCACAGTGTCTGAAACAGTTTGATAAAGGATTTGTTCTCTAAACCCCTCCTTTCCAGGAGCCTACTATGCTCTGATTGGCCAGATGGCCCAGTCTGTTGTGATTGGTTTACCCCTTACAGCGCATGTTGGAAACAAAATGTCCATTACCATATCTGAGTTTCAGCTCCAGAAGCTTCCTCAGCCCTTGTATACACAGTAGGGTTGTAACGGTATACCGGTATGATACGATTATCATATCATGATAAAAAAAAAAAATCAGACGGAGAATCTCGCCTACGCTTAAGCAACTTCTATCCACTTGACTGTTTAGACTCTCAACTTGATCCACCCACACACGTACAGCGGAGAAAAGCAGAGGCTGTTATCTCTAACCTCTATCCCCTGTCGAAAAGAAGTTAAAAAGAGCATCTCATCATTTTATTTGAGAAAAAAACTGTCAAATACACTCTGAAACTCAAAGGTCTTCACTACAACCCGTCAAAATAAACGTTTGGTTTAACCTGAAGATATTATGACAGAAATATACTAATATTGTACAATAGAATGTACTTCTCAAATAATAATAGTAATACAATTTATTTAAACATTATTAAAGGAATATATTTTTTTGCCCAAAAAAAGGATAAAAATTGTATTTGATTACATTTTAAAGCATTAATTAAACTGCTAGTTTTATGCATTCATTTGATTACCGCCTTTTTTTAAAACATTTGGTAGTAAATCATAAAAAGAAAAATAAATTTTCTACATAAAATACATTTCATAGGACTCTATTATTCTTTTTTTTTTAAAATAAATTATTAATGATAAATAAGTTATTAATCTAATCCATAATCAATTATTACATTTAATGTATCAGACATGTTTTTGATTATTGAAATTTGATTAAACAAAACAAACAAATGGTTTCAAGTTTGTTATAATAAAGCATTTGTTCAACCAAAAAACCTGTTTTCATTCATTTAACATAACTGATAATAATAAGACTGTTATCATACCGTGAAAATCTCATACCGTTACAAGCTTATGCACAATGATATGAACAGTAACGATGGCATCGGAAGAAAACACTTCTCGACTTGTCAACAACACAAACTGAACTCTTCCAGGCCTCAGCTACTACTATATAATTTCAGGTTTGTGCGGGAAGCAAGACTGGAATTACTGACGGCTCGTCAGAATTGGTTCTTTTTTTTTGGAGACAATAACTCCATTTGTCTGCACTTAGATCTTTGGAACTTTGCAGACCCTTTACATTCACAAACAGCTATATAACACGCTACATGAAAGGTAACATTCGAAAAAGCATAATAGAGGCACATAAAAGGGATTACTTTGTAAAAATCTTTGTTCAAGCAGTGTGCAAATGGGCAAATATGAGCAAACTGGGTCTTTTGATGCTGTTGCAGAGGGTGATGTGAAGTTTATTTTTGAGCTCTTTGGCCTGAAAACAGTGCTTTGTTTGTCATAACCCAAATATAGCTCAACACCCAGGTAACAGTATCCCAGATGTCAAGCGATGCTCGATGTAGCCTTATGCTCTGGGGTTTGGTTTCCAACAGGAATAACTTTAGAGCTTTTTTGTACAAGAGAAATGTTTATATTTCATTATGTAGAAATAATAAATTAATTCATAAATGAATTAAAGGTGAAAAATATTAAATTTCATCAAAAATGTGAAAAGTACTAAAGTCTTTCTGAAGGCACTACGTCTTTTAAGCTGCATTTGTTTTATTCGTGAATGACAAAGCAGTAACATGAATGACAGATCCTGCAACTTCATAGTCATAGTGTTTGAGGTGTTACTGTCTGTTTCTTTTCCTTTTTTGTAGCTATTAAAAGCTCTACCTTGTTCTAAATATGTTTCAAAGAATCTGTGGCTTTTCAGAAGCTATTCGGTTTAATATTTCATCATTTTTCAAGGATTTTCAATCATCCACTGAGACTATTCATGAACGTTAGCACATCAGTAGCTTTGGTTTCATTTCGGTATTCAACCCAAAAGGTTTGCCTTTACACCACTGTATTTCTGAATTTGTATACAATGCATATTTAATGAGGCAAACAATAAGAAATAATTTAGCAGCCTACCAAGACTTTTGTAGAAGAGCCATGCAATCCTTCCATTCCAAGTGTTCCAGCTGTTCTGGCATTGAAAGAAAAGTTGACTACAGCATTATCTTATTTAATAATATTTCAATAATTCTGACATTGCGGTTCTTGTCAACATTTTTTTTTTACTTACTGTATCTAGTGGAGGTTTGCAAAAACGAGAATAAATGGGCCAAACAGTTCCATATGACTTGACATGCTCTTTTCTGTTTTGCTAGATGAGAATGGGAAGGACCAGGGCATTAATGTACGGCAGAAGGTTAAAGAAATGGTCGAGTTTGTTCAGGATGATGATCGGTTACGTGAGGAGAGGAAGAAAGCTAAGAAGAATAAAGACAAATACATTGGAGTATCTTCTGACAGCATGGGAGGCTTCAAACAAAGTAACTGTAAGTGATCAAATGGAGCAAATTTGAGTGTTGCTAAATTTGATAGTGCATGATTTCTAACCACTAATGCCACTAAATGGAACTGCCAAAATGAAGGTTTCGAGACAGGTTTCCCAGATATTCTTGCTGTCTGCCACTGGTTGAAAAGAGAGATTGTTTTGCCCCAAACCTAAAAACGTAATAAATGTTATTTAAGACATTAACTGGGAAAATGGGCAAAAAGCTGAAGCTTGCATAATTTATTAATTGATAATCCGACGACAACTTGTGCCAGTATACATGGTGCAAACGCATGCCAAGATAATCTGCTCACAATTAATATCAGTATACTAAGACTGTTCTGCAAACATTTCCTAGACAGTAAAGCTAATACATGCGTCATGTACAATGTTGATGTTCACAAAAAAAAAAAGATGCCAAGTTGCTGGTGCTTTCAAGAGAAGTTTTTTCTTCCTATCAGGTACCGCTTTTTTTGTTCCCTAAATGCATTGTGACGTTGTGTAATCAAATAAAGCATGAAATTCCCTTTGGACCTAGGTCATTTTGAGGCATTATTTTTATCTGTTGAAACTGTGATTGACCCCAAAAGTGAGCTGCTTTGTCTCTGTACTGTTGGCATCCCACAGGGATTTGTTTTAGGCCCTCTGAAGTTTTCTCGCATAGTATGGAAAAATTCCCCCTGGATTCCCTTCTTTCCACTACTGATCTTTTGATTAGAGCTGTTTTGATTTCAGGGCTATCACTTTTTCAACTTTACTCACTGCATCATTTGGTGATGTTTATGATCAGGTTAGAAGAAATAATCAGATCTCTGCTTTTTGTTTTACATGTTTTCTCTTAGAGCTGTCTAATCAAGTCAAGATGCCATGTCCCTTGTCATGTCATTAGTGATGTTACTTGTGTGCAAAGTCAAAAGATTGTGCTTGGTTTCTGCTTTGATTGCTGCTCAGATCTTTCCCTTTATTAGCTGTACTACAGGTTCAAATTTCCAATTATTTATGGCATTCTAATGATGGATTTTTCTTTTTGGTTGTGAAAGATAAAAATACCACAGGGTCAGAGGCGGGGTAGACAGCTTGATTTTAAGTTGGGGTTGAGGGTTTCTAGTCGGGTGTATTTTCCACACTTTTCGAAATTAGAAATGCGTGTATATGCAGTGGCGGAGCCAGTGGGGTGTCCGGGGTGGCAGTTTATTGGTCATTCATTTCATTTTATCTCTTTTAAAAAAAAGCATTTATTTTGATGTGCGTCTGCGTTAAATATCGGATGCATTAAATATCTCAAATAAATTCAGTACCTAACCAATTCTGTATCAACATTCCCAGCGGGAGAACGATTTGACCCCGAATCCAAAAGCAACTGGGACGAGGACTGGGACAAAAACAAGAGCAGCTTCCCGTTCAGTGAAAAATTTGGGGAGATAAGTGACAAAATTGGAAGCACCATTGATGACACCATCAACAAATTCCGCAAGAAGGAGAGAGATGACTCGCCAGACCGCATCAGGTACGTTACTGAATTTTCAGTCCATAGAATTGATAAAGCTATAAAGTAAAAAGCTATGAAACCGAAGTAGAGACAGATTTTTTCTTAAGGCCAATTCACACCGTACAGACAAACACCAACAAACAAGTTGCCCATTGGATTTGGAATATTTTGAAAAATAACTGTCATGCCCCAACTGACAACGAAAAACGCTGATTGACTATGTTCAGTCGGATGAAAACGAACCCAACCAACGGCTACAGACTCCGACAGAAGTAACACACTGATCCGACAAAACCCAACAAACGTGTTTTTTTGGCATTTGTTTCTGCGGTTTGAATTGGCCTTTTATGTATTGTGACGTACATCCGAGTGTATAAAACGGATTATCAAAAAAAGACCAAATTTAGGATGTAGGTTCTATCCATCATTTGGTGATTGGCTAAGGCACATCGGCTGAATGTGAGCTTGCAGATAAAATAGTAAGGAAGGAGGACTGTGCATGTATCACCAGAGAGATGTCTGGATCAAGTTATGACATCTTGATTAAGGAATACAAAGTGAATTGTTCACAATAACAGAATTTAGAAAATGGGTACATTTTTATTTAATGCTGATTTGAATGCTTTGAAATGTTCTTTGAATGAAACCACCTGTAGATAAATTAACTATCACACTTCTGCCCTGTAGTGTAATTTTTGACTACTTTATTCGTTTTTGTCTTACTGTTGCCTCTTCCTGCAGTGACAATGAGGAGGACAAAGTTTCACGGAACGGTCGTCTTGCAAAGTCAGAGTTCAAGGATGATGAAGAAACTGTAACAACCAAGAGCATCCAGATCACACAGAACACAGATACAATCACCTCCACCACCACTACCACCTCCACACGCAAACGCGGCGGAGTCCCGTCCAAAACCGTCGACTTGGGCGCAGCGGCACATTACACTGGCGGCAAAAGCAGTCCCGATGCTGACAACAACAAGGTAAAATACTGCCTTCCAAATGCATCCTGCTGTAAAGGGTACATAAAGATTTTAGCGCAAGAGCCTTCCGTTTCATTTAAGTTGTTTAAAGCCGTTTTAAAATATCCAGGTTAACACATTTGGCCAATTTTGTAACTGCAGGAGTGTCAGTAAGTTTCACAATCTAAGGCTACATTCACATTGTCATTCCAAATCCAATAATTGTGTGTCAGATTGAAATCTGATCTAAAAGACTGATTTGTCCACACTTTGTAACACAACTGTTTAAATGTTCTTTCTAAACAGTTGTTACAAATCTCTGCTCTCTATTATGATGTTGTGATGAAATGTATGCCTTTCTCCACTGGCGTTCTAAATTGTTCGAAGCGTTTAAGGATACTGATGTTCAGCTGTCGGTTTTGTGTGTAACATTAGCAACACATTATTAGCGGTTTGATACCCTAGTCAAGCAAATGGCTAATCACATTAATTACCGTTATGTGTCAGACGTTATAGATATCAAATAGCAATACATAAAATGCATTACCATTCTGATACATCGACATGGAGCCTGTATAATTCCCTCTTCCACTTCTTCTGAATCAGTATCTGGTTCAAACATATATGGCTGAATTAAACCAGTATTTCCACATGCCAATGTGTAGCGTTTACTACAGTAAAGTTGACCGAGTGTATCAGGTAGTCCGAGCTCGTGTGATTGAGTGGAGGCTGACACTAATTTGCATAATGATAGTCCATGGATTATCAAAGATGAGTTTTAAGAGATAAAAGCATTGACTACAGGACAATTTATTTTTTAGAATAATCCATAATTTTAAGCATGTTTTTTTCCCATAGGTTGAATAATTTATTTATAATATATTGCTGTTATTAAGTTTATTTGCATTAGCAATAATAATAAATAAAAAAATGTAAAAAAAATTTTTTTATTATTATATTAGTGTTATATTGGCCATCTTATTTTATAAATATTTATTTATATTGGCCATAATAATAATAACAACTCGACCAGTAGTTTATATTGATTTTTACATAGACACTGCAGAAGGTGTCCGTATAGAAGACTGCAAAATCTAAACAAAAACACATGAATGCACCGACACAGTCCTCTCTGTGATAGTGCTTATGGTTGCAAAAGGAAGCCTGTGCTGCCTTCATGTGGTAGAAGTGAAATATGACATTCTTTATTCTCTTTTCAGGCATCATTGAGTCAGACATCCAGCATAGGGTTTGCAGACCTGTTGATGGTGGACTCTGGCTCTGCTCAACCAGTGTCTTCAGGTAAGACCCTGATCAGCTGCATTTTCCACATTTGAAAATGCTTCTTGTTTTAAGCATCACTATAACTATTGCCCAAACGTAGGGTTAGGGTTTTGAACTCACACCCTTCTCTATAGATGCCACTGCTCAGTGTGTGTGAAGCATATCCTTTTACTACTTGGACATTGTTTTTGAGCCCAATTTCCTCCACACAGAAGCTTAAATCTCAAAGAGAAACTTTTTTCCCAAAAGTTGATGTACTTTTAAAGTCATACTCATGGAAGACAGAGATGCAGTCAGAGGCATCTAAGTGCCCCAGATGGTTGAGTCGTGTGTGTGTGTGTGTGGGAGAGAGGGAACGAATAGGAGATGGGTGCACAGATGCTGCTGTCCCTCCGTATCCCATCACCAGCCCAACAGCTGTGCTGTGTCCGTTGACATCAGTCAGGAGGTCACGAGCTGTTGCTACCAGGTTGTGACAACCTAATTGTGTTGTACGTGGATGGACACGTGTGTTTGCCTGTGCATTTGAGTTTTAGTCCTGACCGGTTGTTACTATTCTGCATTGTCACGATAGGAAATCATTATTTTATGTAAAGAGATTTTCTCTTCTATCGTGAAAAATATATTTTGCATTAAAACAGCAAGGATGCATTAATTCCTTAATGTAAAAATAAAGCCTTAAGCATAAAATGTCTTAAATCCACGTTTAAAAATGCAACCGATCTGACGCAGCAGTAAAGATTTTAAATTACATTTTTGCTCGTTGCTTTTTGAAATCATAAAATCGTTTTAATGCATAAAAGTTAATTAAAACAAAAATATATTACCATTTTATCCCCAAATAAAAAATTATTATTATCAAATATTTTTTGTCCAGTATTAATATAACAACAGATTTTTTTTCTTAATTTTTTCCATCTGCTGATGGAAGTGGTCTTCATTTTATTTTGGAAAAGTCTTGAAAATTATATTAAAAAGTATTAAATTTGAAGCACTGATACTTGCTGATACTCTGAATTGATGAATAATGACAGTAAAGACATTTCTAATGTTACAGATATAATCTTTAAAACAAATGCTGTTCTTTTGAACTCTATTAATCAAAGAATCGTTAAAAAATGTATCCTGGTTTCCACAAAAATAATCAGCAGCACAACTGTTTCAAACATTGATAATAAGAAGAAATGTTTCTTGAGCACCAAATCAGCATATTAGAATGATTTCTGAAGGATCATGTGACACTGACTGGAGTAATGATGCTGAAAATTCAGCTTTACTGGCACAGGAATAAAAAAAAAAATTTTAAATATTAAAACAAAAAAAAACTGAATTGTAATAATAATATTGCACAATATTAGTTTTTACTGTATTTTCTTTTAATCAAATAGTTTATTTTCGATCAAACCTTTAAAAAAAATCTTGCCCACCCCAAACTTTTGAAACGGGGGTGTATGTACTGTTGCCCTGTTTGTACTTGCAATTCTCAATAATATTATATAATTTCTTTCTAAAGACTATGCGTCGTCTTGATTGTTTACAGTTGGAAGCTCAGATCTCATTGGTGACTTTGCTGACTTGTCCTCACCTTCTGCCTCTGCCAGTCTCCCGTCAGCTGCTGGTATGTGTGATCCAACTGCACATCCTTTAAGATCACATGCAGAGTACAATCCTGAACGGGACCAAAATTAGGTTTTTGCCTCACCTGATGATAATTGGTGATCTGTTTATTGTCTCTATGCAAGTTTTCATGGAAAAAACATTAACACGTAGTCATGTGAACAGTGTAATCTGAACACTCAAACCAGTCAGAGGTACAGGTGTGCTTAAAAAAAAAAAAATTTCGAAGTATGTTTTGAAGAAGCAAAATTCTAGAGTAACTAAATTTTCCATTTTAAAAGTAGCTTTTCTTTAGTATATATTTGCATCCCTTTGACCTAAATTTGTATTTTATTTACTTGCCAAAGCCATTTTTATGCTCCGTTCGTGCTTGGCGAATGACTTTTAATCTAACATCCACAAAATTTGTCCCATTTGAGCATTTAGGAAGTTATTACAGCAATTCAACGTGTCCCACATTACAGAAAGAAATGGGTGGGCTTGAGTTGACTTTTCCCATCATTCTCTGAATCTCTGCCCTCCCTGAGCCTCGCCTCAATGCAGAGCGAGTGGCACTTTGCTGGTGGGCAGTAGGATGACAATTCTGTTGGCTTGTCTGAAATATGATTGGAGTAGCAACACACGACGCAGTGAAATATTGATGAATGACTGAGGGGTCCAGATGGAGCAACTACCTGCTGAGTATTATGAGCACAGACACACGTCAGCTCCCATCATCCATGCTCCATCTCCCCTGACAGAGACTCGCTCCTTAAGAGCAGTGTGTGCATGTGAGGATCCAGTTAGAAGTCTCATGAATGGCCACACAACAGTGAACCAATAACCACGCAAGTAGGAGAATTAACACAAATCAATAATAAACGTTTAGGTGAGCATAAATATAGTGGAATATATGTCAATATATAAATGGCATGTGGGAAAAACATTATGCAGTTTTAAAAGTAATGCATTACAATATTGCGTTACTCCCTAAAAAGTAACTAATTGCATTATTTAGGATGCAGGACACTTATTCAGCAATCAAAACAAAAAATGTAACAAGTCGGTCAATAAATGGGAAAACAAAGTAACCTGCAAAAAGTTTGAAAAAGTAATATGGATATTTTGCTGTTAATTTAAAAGTAATGCATTGCTTTACTAGTTACTTAAAAAAAGTAATCTGTAATATGAAACTAAAACCACCAGTTGGTAGTGGTAAGTCACTGTCTTAATCAGTGAGTCATTCATTCAACCGATTCATTCAAACTGTCTTTACGAACGAGTCACTGAATCAGTGGCTCGCTCGATTCGTTAAAAACCACTTGCATTAAAAAAAAGTAAGCAATCACCGCTGTGTGTTGCTCAGAGACGGTTCTGCTGTGACTTTGTTTGGAACTAATTTTATTGGAGAAATTGAGCGATAACAGACAATATTTTGACTAAGATGTTACACAATATTAACTTGTTTATTGAACTGTTGTATAAAATCAATGTCACATTTGCAATCGTGCAGATATTCGTGGGGGGAAAATACAGCACTCTTACTCGTGTGATATTGCTTAACTATATCATATGATATAAATAAGACAAAACCCCATACAGGGGGATTTTTGCCCTCATATATTGAATTTTATATATATATATATATATATATATACACTCACCGGCCACTTTATTAGGTACCCCATGCTAGTAACGGGTTGGACCCCCTTTTGCCTTCAGAACTGCCTCAATTCTTCGTGGCATAGATTCAACAAGGTGCTGGAAGCATTCCTCAGGGAGTTTGGTCCATATTGACATGATGGCATCACACAGTTGCCGCAGATTTGTCGGCTGCACATCCATGATGCGAATCTCCCGTTCCACCACATCCCAAAGATGCTCTATTGGGTTGAGATCTGGTGACTGTGGAGGCCATTTTAGTACAGTGAACTCATTGTCATGTTCAAGAAACCAATTTGAAATGATTAGAGCTTTGTGACATGGTGGAAGTAGCCATCAGAGGATGGGTACATGGTGGCCATAAAGGGATGGACATGGTCAGAAACAATGCTCAGGTAGGCCGTGGCATTTAAACGATGCCCAATTGGCACTAAGGGGCCTAAAGTGTGCCAGGAAAACATCCCCCACACCATTACACCACCACCACCAGCCTGCACAGTGGTAACAAGGCATGATGGTTCCATGTTCTCATTCTGTTTACGCCAAATTCTGACTCTAACATCTGAATGTCTCAACAGAAATCGAGACTCATCAGACCAGGCAACATTTTTCCAGTCTTCAACTGTTCAATTTTGGTGAGCTCTTGCAAATTGTAGCCTCTTTTTCCTATTTGTAGTGGAGATGAGTGGTACCCGGTGGAGTCTTCTGCTGTTGTAGCCCATCCGCCTCAAGGTTGTGCGTGTTGTGGCTTCACAAATGCTTTGCTGCATACCTCGGTTGTAACGAGTGGTTATTTCAGTCACTGTTGCCCTTCTATCAGCTCGAACCAGTCTGGCCATTCTCCTCTGACCTCTGGCATCAACAAGGCATTTCCGCCCACAGAACTGCCGCTCACTGGATGTTTTTTCTTTTTCGGACCATTCTCTGTAAACCCTAGAGATGGTTGTGCGTGAAATCCCAGTAGATTAGCAGTTTCTGAAATACTCAGACCAGCCCTTCTGGCACCAACAATCATGCCACGTTCAAAGTCACTCAAATCAACTTTCTTCCCCATACTGATGCTCGGTTTGAACTGCAGGAGATTGTCTTGACCATGTCTACATGCCTAAATGCACTGAGTTGCCGCCATGTGATTGGCTGCTTAGAAATTAAGTGTTAACGAGCAGTTGGACAGGTGTACCTAATAAAGTGGCCGGTGAGTGTATATATATATATACACTCACCTAAAGGATTATTAGGAACACCTGTTCAATTTCTCATTATTGCAATTATCTAATCAACCAATCACATGGCAGTTGCTTCAATGCATTTAGGGGTGTGGTCCTGGTCAAGACAATCTCCTGAACTCCAAACTGAATGTCAGAATGGGAAAGAAAGGTGATTTAAGCAATTTTGAGCGTGGCATGGTTGTTGGTGCCAGACGGGCCAGTCTGAGTATTTCACAATCTGCTCAGTTACTGGGATTTTCACGCACAACCATTTCTAGGGTTTACAAAGAATGGTGTGAAAAGGGAAAAACATCCAGTATGCGGCAGTCCTGTGGGCGAAAATGCCTTGTTGATGCTAGAGGTCAGAGGAGAATGGGCCGACTGATTCAAGCTGATAGAAGAGCAACTTTGACTGAAATAACCACTCGTTACAACCGAGGTATGCAGCAAAGCATTTGTGAAGCCACAACACGCACAACCTTGAGGCGGATGGGCTACAACAGCAGAAGACCCCACCGGGTACCACTCATCTCCACTACAAATAGGAAAAAAGAGGCTACAATTTGCAAGAGCTCACCAAAATTGGACAGTTGAATACTGGAAAAATGTTGCCTGGTCTGATGAGTCTCGATTTCTGTTGAGACATTCAGATGGTAGAGTCAGAATTTGGCATAAACAGAATGAGAACATGGATCCATCATGCCTTGTTACCACTGTGCAGGCTGGTGGTGGTGGTGTAATGGTGTGGGGGATGTTTTCTTGGCACACTTTAGGCCCCTTAGTGCCAGTTGGGCATCGTTTAAATGCCACGGCCTACCTGAGCATTGTTTCTGACCATGTCCATCCCTTTATGGCCACCATGTACCTAATCCTCTGATGGCTACTTCCAGCAGGATAATGCACCATGTCACAAAGCTCGAATCATTTCAAATTGGTTTCTTGAACATGACAATGAGTTCACTGTACTAAAATGGCCCCCACAGTCACCAGATCTCAACCCAATAGAGCATCTTTGGGATGTGGTGGAACGGGAGCTTCATGCCCTGGATGTGCATCCCACAAATCTCCATCAACTGCAAGATGCTATCCTATCAATATGGGTCAACATTTCTAAAGAATGCTTTCAGCACCTTGTTGAATCAATGCCACGTAGAATTAAGGCAGTTCTGAAGGCGAAAGGGGGTCAAACGCAGTATTAGTATGGTGTTCCTAATAATCCTTTAGGTGAGTGTGTATATATATATATATTTATATATATATATATATATATATATATATATATATTTACTCACACACATATATGCAAGGCTACATGTATTTCATTAAATTCAATAAAAAATATCATAAAATATTACTACAATTTAAATGTACAAAAAAACTCTTCTATTTTAATGTGTTTTAAAATGTAAATTATTCCTGTGATGGTGAAGCTGAATTTCCAGCAGTCTTCAGTGTCACATGATCCTACTAGTTTCAGTAGTCATGTCAAAGCAATAACTAAATCAGCATACTATCATCTGAAAAATATTGCAAGAATTAAATGCTTTGTTTCCAATCAAGACTTAGAGAAACTTGTGCATGCTTTCATCACCAGCAGGGTGGATTATTGTAATGGACTCCTCACTGGCCTTCCTAAAAAGACCATAAGACAGTTGCAGCTCATACAGAACGCTGCTGCCAGGCTTCTGAGCAGAACCAGAAAATATGAACACATCACACCAGTCCTCAAGTCTTTACACTGGCTCCCAGTTACATTTAGGATTGATTTTAAAGTATTATTACTGGTATATAAATCTTTTAATGGGCTAGGACCTCAATATATTGTAGATATGCTCACTGAATATAAACCTAACAGATCACTCAGATCATTAGGATCACATCAGCTAGAAATACCAAGGGTTCACTCTAAGCAAGGAGAGTCTGCTTTTAGCTATTATGCGAGCCGCAGCTGGAACCAGCTTCCAGAGGAGATCAGGTGTGTTCCTACAGTAGTCACATTCAAATCCAGACTCAAAACACATCTGTTTAGCTATGCATTTACTGAATGAGCACTGTGCCACTGTCCGTCCGACTGTTTTTACTGTACTTTACTTTATTTTTTATTCTAAACTGTTTTTACTGTACTGGTTTTGTCTTTGTTTGTTTTCTAATTTCTAATTTATTTATTTTTATAATCTCTGGAAGAGATTTTGAAGGAGAGCGGGAGAGTCTTCACTCCGATGAGGCGAGTGAAGGAGTAAGTTATACTGCTGTATAAGAAGTCGCTGAGAGCGTCGTTAAGGGTAACGGCAGCAGACAGCGCACACGAAGCGTGATCTGTGGGGGCCCCGCTGGGCATTACTGGTGTAGCACCACCCCAGCAGAGTACGTCCCTGGGCTAGAGGCCCAGTGGCACCGTAAACCGGCTCAATCTCTTCCATCTCAGATGGGGGTGGACCAGTACTACTTTATTTGATTTTTTATTCTAAACTGTTTTAATTATTCTTATTTGTTTTGATTACTTTAATTTCTTCTATGTAAAGCACTTTGAATTGCCATTGTGTATGAAATGTGCTATATAAATAAACTTGCCTTGCCTTGCCTTGCCTTGCCTTGCCTTGCCTTGCCTTGCCTTGCCTACATAAATCATTCTGATTTGGTGCTCAGGTCGCTCAAGGAACATTTCTTATAATCACAGTTGAAAGTGGTTGTGCTTGATATTTTTGCTTAAATTTTTCTTTTAATTCTTTGGTTAGAAAGTTAAGAGAACAGCATTTATTTGAAATTAGGCTTTTTTTTTATAATGTAAAAGTCTTTCGAGAAGTCACTTTTGATTAATGCATCGTTGCTGAATAAAAGTAATAATTTCTAAAAATCTTACTGACCCCAAACATTTGAACACTTGTTTGTATATGTGTGTGTGTTTAATGATTGGCTGTCTCCTCAGGTTCGCTGTCTACTGGTAACGGTGAGTTTGGTGACTGGAACGCCTTCTCCTCCACCAGTCCTCCTGCTGCCACTGCTCAATCTGCCATCCCAGACCTGTTCAGTGACGTACCCGCTCCGGCCGCCCCCGCGCCCACATCCACCCAACCTCCTTCCGCTGACCTCTTCGACCTGATGGCCCTCAACAACAGCAGCCTCAGCGCATCCCAAAGCATGACCTTCAACATGTGCTCGCAGAACGCAACCACACCTCTGTCCAGATCACAGGTAAACAGTTCACTTTATCAGAAAGACTTCTCAGGGCAGCAGATCTGCCATTCTGTACTCATTTTGCGTAGCAGGTACGGATTTTGACCTCAAAGCACACTGGTGCGATTTGCGACTCTTAATCATGCTTATGACGCCTTTGTGTTCTGCACTTCTGTCAAAAAACTATTTTCTAAATGCATATTATTAAGCCAGATTCACACTGTACGATTTTGGCCATGATTTGGTCGTCTGAGACAAATTTTGCGAATCTTAAAAGATTCCTCTGATCTTAGGCTGAAGTCTATAGTTTTTGATTGCTAGTACTCTGACATGTACTCTGACAGGCGATTAATGCATGTGCGCTCAAATTTTACCTACGATGAAATCCTGCCAGTGTCAGAAGTTTTGAAACACAATCCTGCAGTGTGGCTTCTCCTACGACACCGGTCAAATCGGTTGATGACTTAATGATGACTCAATTAGTGTGACAACAACAAACCACCACTTCCTCCACATATTTCTGAAAAAAAAAAATTTCTGTTTTTCCTCTCAAGACAAGTTTGCTAGCAACCATTTTAATCCCACATGTAAATGCAGCTCACTGTCACCAAACGCAAGTCTTTACGTCTATTTTTAATGAGGCTTGACTGTCATACAGTCTGATATTGACAACTGAGATCCTACAGTGTGACATAACTTACAGTGGAGATCATGTTCGTACAGTATGACAAAAATTAAAATGTATAGGATTATTATAATCTCGTACTGTGTGCACCTGACTCTATTGTGAACAAAATTCATGCGCGTTTCATTAAATTTTTTGCCTTATAATGTTTAATCAGAATGTTTTTCTGGTGAAAACGCCAGACTTCCCCCTGGTGATGTATGCACAGTGTCGGGGAAAGTTCCTAATAAAATGAATGCAATTTATGCCTAAATTAATGCATAAAAAATGAACTAATTGCGTTACTCGGTTACATTTAATGAAAAGTAATGTTACATTACTTTTGCGTTACTTTTTCTCACCTGGGCTGGGCTTGCATGTTTGTTTTATAATAACAAAAAAAAAGTTACATTTCTGGCATATGTAAAGGCCCTTTCACACTAAAATTGAAATGAATAAACCAAGTTTAAGGAAATTCACTCCTGTACAGTAGAGGGCTTCACTCAAACAAACCTTTCAGCTGTGCTGCCATTCTGAATTACAGAAGTATAGGACACAGCAATAAAAACAAAAATGAAACGCACATTATGTTTATCTAAAGTCATTTTTGCTTATTAGTATGGTTAAATTTGGTCATCGGAAGGTCAGCAGCACAGACATTGGTTAATAAAGAGAGATTAAATGCATAAAGTATATTTGTGTAACATTTACAGTGTTTCCCCTAGGATTTTTTTTCAGAGGGGGGGGGGGGGGGGGGGGGGGGTTTTCGGGGGACTGCTAGTGTTGCGGAGCGGGCGTGTTACGGATACGTGGTGTACATTTTTTAGCAATCAAAAAGCATGTCTAATTAATTGAAATAGTGTATTATGAATTATTAAACGTATACAACATTTAAAAAAAAATGAAAAATTTCACACTAATTCTGTGTTGTGTTTTTTCTGGTAATAAAATGAAGACATAAAACACAAATTTTATCATTTATCATCAATTTTAATCATATGAAATTAAATAAACTTTTTGTCAAATAACGTGCTGCACAATGAGCTTTACTGTTAAAATTAAAACATGGATTATTCCTTAAATTCAGTTTTGATGATAGTTTATTTGGATTAGTGTTAGTATTATTACATTGGGACATATCTAAATTCTACTGTACAACGGTAATATATCTCTGTCAAGTTAAACCGAACTTTTATTTTGACGGGTTGCCGTGAAGACCTTTTGAGTTTGTGTGTTTGTCATAATGAAGCGGTTAAATGATCACGAAGTGACTTTCGGAGTGGATCTAGAGCCTGGAGAGGAAGTTAATGCATTTGTGTCTTCATATAGGCCAAAAAAACAGCGCAAGCGTCACACGTCCTTCAGTGTGTGTGTGTGTGTGTGTGTTAAATTAAACTGCGCGTCGGCTGCACCATTCATTCACACAGAAAAAGCAGGATTCGTATTTAAATTGTCTTTGTGGTTTAATATCCACACACACTTGTCTACATCGCGATTTGATTTCAAGTGTATACTGAACTGCTTTCTATTTATTCCTCAAAAGATTGACAAATTCCATGAAATTCCGCGATATACAGTAAATTTCTTTTTTATGACTGGATTTCGTCAGCAATTTAGGGGGGGCGGGGGGTCGTTTGGTAGGGGAAACACTGATTTAATTATTGCATGTTTGCATTTCACTGTTTTTATTTATACTTTTTTAGTTATTAATTTAGGCATAAATTGCATTAATTTTATTAGGAACTTTCCCCTACACTGGATACATCACCAGAGGGAAGTCTGGCGTTTTCACCAGAAGGTCTAGTTATGACATTCTGATTAAACATTATAAAAAATAAATAATTACAGTAATTTACTTGCTGCTCTTTCTTTGTCAGACAATAGGGGGTCCCTTATTGACTCAGCAGATGGGACTACAGAAGTCAGGGGGGAAGGTATCAATGCCCGCCACCTGGTCAGACTCAAGCGTCAACATCAGCCTGGATTTCCTGTCTGCAGGCCTGAATCCTCCCAAGCCCTCACAGCCCACACTCAATACCATGATACAGCAAGGTTAGAAATCCCATTGCTTGACAATTATCTTTGATTCAAACCAGATTGTCTTGCTTTGAGTTGATAGTAGCTTGTTCTTTGAGGTAAAAAGTACTGAACCATATATTTATTCTAGTCAGACTAGTCACTACTCAGCACTAAGAAAGATCAGTGCATACATTTAGTATGTATGTATTGCAAATACAATGTTCAGACGTCATATGGGACGAAATGCGTTAACATTTCAAGAGGAAAGCTATTCAAACATGTTCATAATGTTCATAATCGCCTATACAGACAATGACACACATGCCCACATTTAAGCATTTCAATGGGCTTAAAAAGCTGATTTTGTTCATAAATAACTGATAGTCATGACCTAAATAAGATTTCACTGACAAAAATCAATACTAAAATTCATTAGTTATTTTCATCGGTCGCATTGAATCAGTGAGTTGTTGACTCAGGAACAGTTGCAACTGTATCCCCCGGTTTCACAGACAAGGCTTAAGCTAGTCCCAGACTAAAATGCATGTTTGAGCTGTTTTAACTGAAAGCGACTTGCACTGGCATATCTTAAAATATGTAAGCGTGATTATTTTGTCTCAAGATGCACACCAGTAATGTTTTCTTCTAAGGCACGTTTATAAAAGCTACTGAAATGTCCTTATTAAACTAAGGCCTAATCCTGGCTTACTCTAAGCCCTGTCTGTGAAACTGGGCCTATAACTGCAATTCCCAAATTAATTGTGCAGTGTTATTTGTGAACCAACTCCATCAGGTCCATTGAAAAGAATCAACACGAATCGGACATCGCTCTTACGATGGGGAGATGTCTTCAGTTCGAAATAGCGTGGAACGATACGTTTTAATGTAGTGAAGTAAAAAGTACAATATTATGCCAAAGTATGTAGTGAAATAAAAGTTTCCCAAAATTAAAATACTCTAAATACAGACGTAGAAGAAATGCATTGTTACTGTCCACCTCTGATAATTGAGGTGCTTTCACAGTCATAAGTAATTGCATGTATTATTTATTGGTCAAGAACTGTAATTTATAATATGTTTCTCATTTAGGTGTTCAGCCACCCTTGAACATGGTCACCCAGAATTTGGCCGGAATGGCACTCAATGCCCAGCCGTCAGCAGCTACTCCCCGAGCAGGAGTGACCCCCATGATGGCCGGAGGGACCATGGGCATGGGAATGCCTCCTACTATGGCAACAGGCACCATGGGAATGGGCTCTGTGGGTATTGGAGGAATGCCTGTCAATCAAGGACTAATAGGCATGAATATGGTGCCTGCTGGAATAGGTGCCCTTGGTGTGCCCAGCATGAGTATTGGCCAGAGCATGAACCCCGCCATGGTGCAACCTAAACAAGATGCCTTTGCAAACTTTGGCAACTTTGGGAAATGAAGGCTGATCCACTCCAAGAGGGTTAACGGTCCAAATACACCTTCTCAAAAGAAGGAGCTGCATTCAGTAAAATGGACAAAACTAGCCAGTGTCACAACTCTTCAATCATTTGCCCCTATACGTTAACAGATACAGAGAAACAACACACACACACACAAGAATCTGCTTTTATTTCATGTGGGGTTGATAATCTGATTTTTCTTTTGTAAATGGTGCAAAGCATATTGTATACTTTTAAAAGAAAAGAAAAAGATGGCTGTGTGCAGTTTGGTACATTTTTCCACTGTTTCATAACAGAAACCTCAGACTTTTTTTCTCCCCCTGTTCACCATTTCAAATACATCTGATTTCAGAAATTACCTCATATTTTGCATCACTCATGCTGTGATTTAAAGGCCGTGAAGGGTTGACTTTGTAAATATCTCGGTGTGCAAAAAGTAAATTATTTTACTCACTTCTCAGATGGTATAAGACGGGACAAACTACCACAGGTCCTTAATATTTACTATTGTTTTTGTTAACGATTTGAATTGTTACAGTTTGTCTGATATACCGTCACTCCTTATATTCCGTTATCACTCCAACATCTGTTATTTAGATGGGGTTTTTTTGTTTGTTTTTGTTTTTTTACAGACTATATCTGATATAGTTTCAAGACTTTCGTGTAGCAAGCTGCCTGAGCGAAATTTGAAGTGTGCCTCCCGGTGAAAATGGCCACCTTTTTAATACAAATTTGTATGAAGGTTATTAACTGTACTTGATGGATCCGAAACTGTTACATGAATAGCGTAAGCCATTACATTCTTGAATGATTTTTAGGGGTCTCTTCCAACCGAGTTTGAGAAACATGTGCTTTGGTGGTAGCAGGAGTGGTGTTACACATTTCTATTAACTACTTGAATTGGTATTTATAATGCCTCATAATAACAGTCATATCTATTGTTCTTTTTTGCATGTCGATTTTACAGTTTTAAGCATTGATGCGGGTCAGTTACATTTATGTAATGTCTATGGTGGCTATGGAATCGATGAAGGTATTGTGAACCCTAAATTAAGTTTACTGGCGCCCTTTTTAAAAAAAAAAAAAATTGGTTTTGTCCATTTTCCCATATGCTGCTTTACACCTAAACAAACAAAGGGTCCTCCAACAGGCACCGAGGCATTATGTTCCAAATGACCAAATCTTTATTTTATTACTATTTAGATTTATTCCATAGGGGTTTAGTTTCTTATTTTAATACTTAACATTATACAGAGAGATCATGTGCTTAATTACATTGTTCTAGACATGGGTAAATTCAGTGAACACTTTTTAGTTTATGCAAATGTAAAGAGAAACAGAAGATCGAGCGCCTCTTTCATTATAGTTTCTTTTCAGATTTAATTTTTTTGATTTTATTGTACTCAAAAGATTTTGTTTAACATTAAACGATTTCATCAAAAACGGTCTTTGCGACTTTAATGGTGTTGTAGTAGGTGTCCAGCCTTTTAGCGGTCAGTAGGAGAGAGGACCATTTTTATAAGTTGACGATTGTACGTTAATATATTGTTCATGAAAGTAGGTTTCTTGGTCCTCCGTCTTAAACTTTGATGGATAATTCCCTATAATTTTAATGAATTGGTAGTACTGAGGTGATTAGTGCCTCTATTGAAACCAAATGCGTTTCAAAAATTTATAATAAAAATAAAAAAACAGCTTTTCTATGATGGTCTCTTGATTCGGGACAGTAGAGAATCCCTCAAATGTCTTGTGTCCTGTGGCTCCCTCCAGTGTCGACACCAGGGTTAGTCACAACCCTATAAAGCCTCTGTATCATGATGCATGCATTTCTATGTTCTTTAAATGATAAAATTGAACACAACTTTGCTGAACAACCTGTTGTATAGAATGCCTTCTAGTCTGATAGATGGTTATTTATATTATTAATATTTCAAAATGAACATTTACTGGACTGAAGCAACTTAGTTTACTTGATTATCCATACATCATTTTGAAAAACAATAATGCTAAAATACAGTATGTATCAAATATGATCCATCTGGCTTTTGAGGAACGTTCATTTGTACATTTTCATTCATCATTGAATTGCACCGGATTATGTTTTGCCCCCACAATAAAACCTACTGAGCTTTTTGATTAATAGCTCCTAAATTATGAGCCATAAAGCCGGATTTATCAAGTATAAAAACATAAAAACGCATATGCACTTGGCTTTAGAGAGTTAGATAGTTCTCCCAAAAAATGAAAATGATCATCAATTACTCACCCTCAAGTTGTTCCAAACCTGTATGAGTTTCTTTCTTCTGTTGAAAACAAAATATATTTTGAAGAATGTTGGTAACCAGACAGTTGACGGCACCCATTGACTTCCACATTTCCCCATTACTATGGAAGTCAATGGCCACCGTCAACTTTTTGATTTCCAACAATCTTTAAAATATCTATTTGTTTTCAACAGTAAAAAAAACACACACAAAAAACCGGGTATATAAAAGGTAAAAACCTCATACAGGTTTGGAACAAATTGAGGGCGAGTAAATGACAAAATGTTCATTTTCGGTTAAACTATCTCTTTAAGAGGGCATGTGGAACTTTGAAAGTGGCTCACCTGACTTCACCAAAATAACGGTTTATTAATAGTATTATAATTATTCTATGTGTATTGTTAGAATAATAATAATTATTGTTACTTAATTTTATTTTATTTTAAATTCGAGGTTAATGTGACCCGACAATACAATTTACCCAAATACAATTTTGGACAAATATCGGATAAGAATTTACGAATTGGTCTTTGTCAGATGACGTCACAATCGCGAGAATCGATTATCTGACGTTTGTTTGTTTTTGTTTTCTTAAAGGATGCAGGCGAGTAATTTGTAACATTCCACGACCGTTACAGTTGAGTTACGACAGGCTGACAAACTAATGGACAGACACCCCAAAATGAGAGCGAGGCTGAGGTTCAGAGAAGCTGAAGAAGGTTCAACAACTGATGAAGCGGAACCCAAATGTGCCGAAACAGAAGAAAATGGTGTTTTTATAGCTAATAGTTCTGTCGAAGCTCAACGAGTCGGTGACCGAACTGAAGTTGACAGTTTGACGACTCACAGACAAGATCAACCACCGCATGAAGATTACAATTCAGTCAACAGGTCGGTGACAATTGACGTTGGTGTTGAACAGGAAAACGCTGACATGAATAACGTTATATGTCCACATCATCCCTCGGCTCAAGATTCACCGGAGATGGGAGATCACGCACTTTCTTCGTTAAACATTTCGCAGTTTTTTTCACTTAAAGACATGCATCAGTCATTTAATTGTAATTTGTCCAGTGAGGTGCCTTTCCCAGAAACAAACTATCAGCCAATCAGCGTGGCGCCTTTTCCTACAGAAACCCATCAGCTAATCGCCGTGCCACCTTTTCAGGTGGTAAACAATCAGCGAATCAGCCATTCGTATTTTCCGATGGTAAACCATCAGCCAATTCTCGTGGCACCTTTTCCAATGCTATACCATCAGCCAATCAGCGAGGAGCCTGTAAACCGTGAGCCAATCAACGAGGCTTCTGTGCAAGACTATCTCCAAGGAGGACTGAACTTTACTCAAGCGACTTCAGGAGCAGGTAGGTGGATGGAGGGATATTTCCTCTGGACCAGAACCTTAAAAAAAGCGCCATTCTCTTCCTTTACATTTCTAAGTATTTCAAGCATTAATTTTTAAAGTATAGCTGTAAAGATGCGTTACATTTAATTATTCTACTTTTTATGGTTCAAGATAAGAGTTTTTGTAACCAAAATAATTGGTTAAGTGACACATTTACTTCATGACTTAAGCACGTTTATGACTTTGTAAAGTTTTCATGTGCATGCAGATGCAGCATAACATTTGAACTGTTTTTGTGAGCAGAAAGTAAGGTGGAAAGATCTCAGAACAAAAAAGTGTCTATCAAAAGACCCATGAATGCCTTCATATTATGGTCAAAGATTCACCGACCCACCTTGTCTAAGGCCAACCCTATGGCCAGACACTGCGACATCAGTGTCCAGTTGGGGTTAGAATGGAACAAACTGTCTGAAGAGCAGAAGGAGCCATACTATGTGGAAGCACATAAAATCAAGGCAGAACACATGCGGAAGTACCCAGGTAATCTATGCGGAAATATTCGAAGACATTAAAGACATTTGTTTTGGAGGTCTCCTACAATAGGTTTACATGCATCCAAGGTTAAAAAAACACTTGAATTTTCTCATAATACACATTGCAGCTTCACCTCCTTTCTCACAGTGTCTGAAACGGTTTGATGGATAAAGCAGTGGTTTTCAATCTTAGTCCTGGGGACCCACTTATCTGATCTGCATATCTTGTATTTCTCCCTTATTTAACACACCTGATTCAGATCATCAGCTCGAGAGATCCATACACTGAACTGAGTGTGTCAGAAGAGAGAGACGTACAAAATGTGCAGTGTGTGGGGTCCCCAGGACTTAATTTATCATGTACTTTGATCTTTGGGGCTTTGCGGTCCTTTTACATTCACAAACCGATATATTACATGCTACATGAAAGGTAAAATTCGAGGGGAAAAAAAGCATAATAGGGGCACTTAAAAAGGCATACATAGAATCTCTTTTGAAACTGCTTCAGATTTCTTTTTCTCATGTTCCTGCATTAATACAGATTGGGTCTATCAGCCAAAGAAGCGTTCCGTCCCCAGAGGGCCAACGGCCATCCCTGCGGCGACCCAAATCTCCTCACTCTCCACTCTGACATGGGCACGGAGATCCAACCCTTACCCATCAGTCAGAGACATCAGAGGGCAGAGCTGTCTAATTCTTCCAGGTTCAACTTCTATGTGTCCTTGTCTTTGAATATTACACGTTCAGTATAAGTTAAAGGAATAGTTCGCTTAAAAATGAAAATTCTGTCATTATTTACTCGCCCTCAAGTTGTTTCAAACCTGTATGAATTTCTTTCTTCTGCTGAGCACAAAAGATATTTTGATGAATGTCGGTAACCAAACAGTTGATGGACCCCATTGACTTACATAGTAGGGGAAAAAAAATACTATGGGAGTCAATGGGGTCCATCAACTGTTTGGTTACTGACATTCTAAGTCATAGGCCTAGACTTTAAAAAAGTCTAAGGGTCATATGTCCTTTAAATTTGATTTTTAGTGAGTATGTCTTAACATTACTGCAGTAATGATAGACACGGGTACAGTAGGTCTTTGATACTGTCCAGATTGGCAGTAATAAACCCACCTTTATTGTCTTTATTGTGCTTGATATAAAATAAAAGGTGCTTTAAAAAGTTCTTGGATCATAAGAAGATTGGGAACCCTGTACGTAATAACCTGTTTTATTTTTTCCAAGTTTTGCCAAGTTAGTGTCTCTGAGCCCTCAAACTAATGATATTTCAGACATGATTAAAAACTAATTAATAACACTAAACACTAAGGGCCTGCTCACATATCGCGTCTATTTCAAATGTAGGTGCGCGGTATGTGCGCTCATAATGGAAGCGACGCGGTCGTTTTTTCCAAGCGCGTCCGCGCCGCATCGAGATAAGAACATCTCAACTTTTCAGAATGCCGCAAGCGCACCATAAGTGCACAGTAGGTCACATGACAAGAACCAACCTGAGCGCAACCGCCCTAGCGCTTTGGGAAAAGGAGAATGCGCCGCGCCCAGCGTTTTCTACGTGTTTTTAGGCGCTATATGTGAATCCGGCCTAATTAAGCTTACAGATATTTGAAATGTTTTTTTTTTAAACCCTTCAGGAATTGAACTATTTGGATCATTCTGTTAATACCCTGATTAAACATGATATGAAGCCAAATTATTTTTCACCCTAAAAATTTCACAATACTTTTGTCAGCCAACATAAACCGAGGCATGGAGATGCAACAAGGTGTCACCAACAGTCTTCACTCCGCTCCTCACTGTATCCTCTCTGCAAACCTCCACATGACTGGACCGCAGTTCTACCCAGAGTGAGCTTTCAAAACCCCCTCCCTATATTGCAATGTGCTTTTTTTTTTTTTTTTTTTTATATAAATTCTCAAATTAACATTTTATAATAGAAAGGATTTGTAATGCTACTTTTCATATGCTGAAAACAAAATGTAATTTTTCTCACAGATCCATCCCACATTCAAACTATTCTAGCCATGTCACTGACGTTATGAGACACTATGAAGACCAGAGGCATGAGACGTTGAATCGTGAATATTCTCTCCATGATGATAATTAAGAGGAAAGTCTTTTCATTAATTCTAGACTTCTGGGTTCCTGTTTGTTCTCTTGACTGGACTGCAGAGAGTGTGTCCATTTTCATATACCTACTGTCTTAGTAATTGATTGTTTTTTAGGTAAAAATGTACAAATAAAAATGTCCTGCATTCAGGAGTGTCTGCATGTTCATGAACAATGGAAGGGAATGAGAAACATGCAGTATCTGTTATGAAACAGACCAGGCTCTGAATTGTGATTGCCAATAATGTATAAATGCTTATGCCATTCAAGTGGTGTATCACAGATTTCATTATTTTACCCTACTTCCCGACCCAGACTTTTAATAATATGAAAGGCCATTGTAAATATATGTATTTCAACATCTTACATTTACATTTACATTTAGTCATTTAGTCCATCTTATTGCTAAATCTGACTGCTTGAGATGAAATATGAAAGATCTGATGTGTATTTAGAAAGACTGCTTTACATTTAACATCAATACACATACCTACACAAATAGAACATTTAGGAAACATTGGAACAATCTCACCAGAACTGGAACAACAGGTGAGTCAGCATATGATGTCCTGTAAATTGAAAGATATTTACAATAATTTCTTAGATAAACAAGGTTGGGGTCAGTCAGAGGAAGAAAAAAATTAATAATAGATGTAAAGTACAATAATAAATGAAATGTATACAGGTCCTTCTCAAAAAATTAGCATATTGTGATAAAGTTCATTATTTTCCATAATGTAATGATAAAAAATAAACTTTCATATATTTTAGATTCATTGCACACCAACTGAAATATTTCAGGTCTTTTATTGTTTTAATACTGATGATTTTGGCATACAGCTCAGGAAAACCCAAAATTCCTGTCTCAAAAAATTAGCATATTTCATCCGACCAATAAAAGAAGTGTTTTTAATACAAAAAAATAAAGTCAACCTTCAAATAATTATGTTCAGTTATGCACTCAATAGTCAATACTTGGTCGGGAATCCTTTTGCAGAAATGACTGCTTCAATGCGGCATGGCATGGAGGCAATCAGCCTGTGGCACTGCTGAGGTGTTATGGAGGCCCAGGATGCTTCGATAGCGGCCTTAAGCTCATCCAGAGTGTTGGGTCTTGCGTCTCTCAACTTTCTCTTTACAATATCCCACAGATTCTCTATGGGGTTCAGGTCAGGAGAGCTGGCAGGCCAATTGAGCACAGTAATACCATGGTCAGTAAACCATTTACCAGTGGTTTTGGCACTGTGAGCAAGTGCCAGGTCGTGCTGAAAAAATGAAATCTTCATCTCCATAAAGCTTTTCAGCAGATGGAAGCATGAAGTGCTCCAAAATCTCCTGATAGCTAGCTGCATTGACCCTGCCCTTGATAAAACACAGTGCACCAACACCAGCAGCTGACATGGCACCCCAGACCATCACTGACTGTGGGTACTTGACACTGGACTTCAGGCATTTTGGCATTTCCTTCTCCCCAGTCTTCCTCCAGACTCTGGCACCTTGATTTCCGAATGACATGCAAAACTGAGCAACAGTCCAGTGCTGCTTCTCTGTAGCCCAGGTCAGGCGCTTCTGCCGCTGTTTCTGGTTCAAAAGTGGCTTGACCTGGGGAATGCGGCACCTGTAGCCCATTTCCTGCACACGCCTGTGCACGGTGGCTCTGGATGTTTCAACTCCAGACTCAGTCCACTGCTTCCGCAGGTCCCCCAAGGTCTGGAATCGGTCCTTCTCCACAATCTTCCTCAGGATCTGGTCACCTCTTCTCGTTGTGCAGCGTTTTTTGCCACACTTTTTCCTTCCCACAGACTTCCCACTGAGGTGCCTTCATACAGCACTCTGGGAACAGCCTATTTGTTCAGAAATTTCTTTCTGTCTTACCCTCTTGCTTGAGGTTGTCAATGATGGCCTTCTGGACAGCAGTCAGGTCGGCAGTCTTACCCATGATTGCGGGTTTGAGTAATGAAACAGGCTGGGAGTTTTTAAAAGCCTCAGGAATCTTTTGCAGGTGTTTAGAGTTAATTAGTTGATTCAGATGATTAGGTTAATAGCTCGTTTAGAGACCCTTTTCATGATATGCTAATTTTTTGAGACAGGAATTTTGGGTTTTCATGAGCTGCATGCCAAAATCATCAGTATTAAAACAATAAAAGACCTGAAATATTTCAGTTGGTGTGCAATGAATCAAAAATATATGAAAGTTAAATTTTTATCATTACATTATGGAAAATAATGAACTTTATCACAATATGCTAATTTTTTTAGAAGGACCTGTAATAATCATGATAAATAAAGTAAATGAAAAATTAAAGTAAAAATCAACAGTTGTACTTCAAAATGACTTTTCTGTTTAGTCTTTTAACCTTTAAATTACAATTTTGAATATTGTGAAAACAGTCCTTTTCTCAGGCCAAACCATGTAAAGGAAAGCAGACCAGTACTGTAAACTGGTTCAAATGCAGTTCACTTGGTGACCTCCATGACCTGCAAAACAAGTTCTTTACCATCAATATACATGTTTGGACCAACAAAGTATCTGTGACGTCCTTGCTGCAGAGTCTTCTCAACAAGTGCCCAAAGTTTGTTTCTGCAACATGACATCATCGGTCAAAGTCCACTGTGACACATGCAGGTACCGAGATTTAAAGATGAACTCATCATCTTAGATTTTGTCCTAGTAAAAAAAAAAAAACTTGAGTTTAATCACAGCACTACTAAGACGTATATGTTGAAACTGGCGACAGATAGTGGGATTTGTTAGCTAACAACAAGCAGTGCTGGGCAGATTACTTGCAAATTGTTGTCCGTTGCTGATTACAAATTACATGATGCAAATTGTAGTTAGTAACGTAATCTAGATTACTCATTTTAGGTAATGTATTCAGACTACTTTTTGATTACTTTTGACCTAACTTGTTTATCACTTAGATCTGAATGGGATTATTGTGTGCCATATTGATATATATAAAAAAGAGAGAAAGAGAAAATATTTTCCTAAAATATTACAACATAAAATGCATTAAGTATTACATTATGACAGTGTTTCCCAAACTAATGTTAATCAAAAACTATGTGGGAAAAAGTTTAGAACTTGTGAAAAATGTTGGTAGACAGTTGACGGCACCCATTGACTTCCAGTAGGGAAAAAAAATACTGTGGAAGTCAATGGGTGCCGTCAACTGTTTGATTAACAACATTCTTCAAAATATCTTTTTTTTAGTTCAGAACAAAGAAACTCATACAGGTTTGGAATAACTTTAGGATTAGTAAATGATGAATTTTTGGGTGAACTATCTCTTTAATTTAAGGAGATAATCGTTTGTTTCACTCCCATTTTTCTCGTCTCTCCTATTAAATCCAGTCCCATCTGAAGTGAAGGTTGTGAAGTAAAATTATGCTGTCACATTTTGGCTAAAATGGAATGAAGCATCATGTGATTTTAAGACTTTTCCAGAATGCACTAAAAAGCATTTAGATACAATATTTTATACCGAATGTGTGTGCCATGTTTTTTTTTTGTTTGTTTTTTTGCATGCCACATTTATATTTTTTGAAGAGCTGCAGATATATTCAACTCAAGCCTTTGAGTTGTGATTTTTACTTATGTAGTTTTAGATCAAGAATTAGGCTATCACCATATGTTTAAAATAAATAATTTACATGAAAGATTTGGTGATATTTCTTGATATAATGTTTGGTGATATTTCTTGATATACTATTTCTCCTCTCCTTACTGTATCTTCTCTCAAACCTTCCTCCATGTGACTGGACCGCAGTTCTACCCATGGTAAGCTTTCAAAACCTCTACATGTTAATGAAAAATGGAAGGGAATGAATCATGCAGTATCTGTTTTGAAACGGATCAGGTTCTGAATTCTGATTGGATGAGCTGTTTTCACAAAAAAAATTGAAAAAAAAAATTTCAGACAGTGTCATTACTGACAATTTTTTGCCAATTAAATATTTCAGAACAAAACATAACTAAAAAACATTGACTTTAGAAATTGATTTTTTCTATATTATAGGGACAAAATGTCCCCGCAAAGATGGCAATATCCTAAATCCTTGTCCTTTTGGGGACATTTTTGGTCCCCATGAGGAAAACAGTTTATAAATCATATGATACTACCGGTAAGTTATGTTTTTTGAAAATCAAAGAATGCAGAAAGTTTTGTGTGATGGGTAGGTTTAGGGGTAGCAAAGGGTTAGTGTAAGGGGATAAAATATAGTTTGTACAGAATAAAAAAACCATAACATCTATGGAAAGTCCCCATAAAACACGAAAACACAATGTGTGTCTTTATTTATTTATTTGTTTGTTTGTTTGATCCTGTGGTGTTTTGAGTTAATAATGTCAATCCAGCCAATGACGTAAAGGAAAGTGTGAGGAAGTGCTTCGCCAACAGGAAGTTTAGCTGAAGTGTGTTTGTTTAGTTTCTGGAGCGATGGCGGAGAACATAGAAGGAGAGAGCGCTGGACTGGCGGAGAACAGGTCAGATAACTACACTATAACATCCAGTATGACGACGCTAGATGTATATTCACGCAGAAATTGGTGCTTATTCATAATTTAGCTATATAGCCAGCCTGTGTTATGGTGTGAGTGGTGGAAAAGTCCGCTGGCGCAGTTTAGCGCAGTTAGCATTTTTGCTAGCTTCTTAAACGTACTCTGTTTTTTTATTTATCTGCGTGAATAGTTCAAACTTTAAAACGCAAGCTAAGCAAAACTGTTCGCTTCCGAACAATGC